ATATATATATATATATATATATATATATATATATATATACATATAGTATATATTATTTACTCTATAGTATTATATATACATATATACATATATATACTATATATATTATATATACATATAGTATATACTATTTATTGTATATATTACTGTATATATTATTGTATATATACTATATGTATATTTACTGTATGTACATACATATTCTTATAAATACAAAGAATTAATTTTAAATAAAAAAATATTATATTAATTCTATTTTTTTTATATTCACGATAACGATTTTATTAAGAAAATAATCAAAAAATATTTTAGATGCTACCCATTAAGATTTGTACATATAAGATCACTTATTATTTATGATAAAATCTTACCGGAGCAAGAAAATTTCGAAGAGAAATTTATGAAAAGCCGTGTCGTCTCACCGCGATTTCATACGGACAGTGTTAGCGTTAAGTATTGCGCAGGATTTGCACGACCCTTTCCCTGAAAAGCGGTAGGGCTATGTCCTATCGTTGAATGCGCAGGATCCGAGCTTCTCTGCTACAACCTTAGATCATTGATCCAAATTCGGGCTAGCTGACTACAAAACAGCATTAAGCGCCTATTCTTAAATCGTGAATTTCGAAAGATTTTTTTTTTCTAAGAAGATTGTAGAAATTCAGAGAAGCACTGATTGTAATTAAAGATTAAAAAAATAATAAATAATGAGAACAATTTTTGATGAATTTTGTACTTTTTGATTAATGTCAGTGTATTTTTTGAAAGAAAAAGAAAACTAAAAAATGAAATGATTCGTATCGTCAATCTCTAAACAATATAATATTTTTTTTAAATATTGAAATAAAAGTATAAAATAATACTCTAGTATCGCCACTGCAGTCTACCCCTTAGTAACAACCCCTCCCGCGTCCACATAGTCAACCGATAAAATCTATACATAGTTTTGTGAAATTTCAATCCCACCACTTGCTTTTACAACTTTTACAATTTTAACGACTCACACCGATGAGTGAGAGTACTAATACCTGTAAAAAGAGATATTTTGCCTTACCTCGTTAGGTGACACGATTATCCAGTTTTAATTTTTCGATTTCTCGATATGTGGTATATCCAGGAACGTTTTTCCTCCCACGAAAAGGGCAATTTTACAAAATATATCCAGTTAGGAAACTGAGAGAACAATCAGATTTGTTAACAATATGTCTCTTGAAATCAACTTTTTCGTTTACGATGCATTAAAAAAAAGAAGAAAACGAGAGAAAGAGAAAGAGAGAGAACGAAAAAAAAAGAAAAAAATAGGAACAGAAGAGGGACAAATGGAGAGCGACAGAAGACCAAGTAGTTTGCAAATACGATGGTCAAGAGGGTGCTGCGAGAGAGAACCGTCGTAAGACACAGCGACACTAAACGTAGATCGAAGACGAAATGTTCCTTTTATCTAAAGACGGGTAATAACGAATTCTTTACTACGATTCACAAATGTCTCTTCCCCCCTATGTTTCAATCAACGATACTCAAACTCGAATTAACTCGGCAGCAACTCTCGCGTTGCGGGCTGCCGGCTCTCTGACAGACTGCGATACCCTTTGCCGCTACCATGCAAAGACACCCCCTCTACGAAGATCGTTCCGGTATCCCCACTAGCGATGCGCACTGACGCGATTAGTTCCGTTCGCGCAGTCCTCCAGACTGCCCGTAACATCTAGTCATTCGGTTTATACACACATACACATTGCCACAGCATCGGAAACGTCGCAATGTAGGCCCCATTTAGGTGTATAACGGGGTCCATACTATACTGATATATACAGATTGTGTATTACATACTCGAATAGCCAGGGATACGAAATCGTACCACTTTAGTTCTGTATACATGTGTGCATGCTCATGTATATGTGACTGACTGATATGACCGGCAAAGCCGGCCGGCACGGTACAATGTTAGAAAACGCCGGTATCGAGGGAAAGGACTTGCACCGGAAACGAGGAAAAACTAAAAAGTATCATTGAAACTTGGAGGTCATCATTGGTCATATTCTGCAGTATGGGTGCGGTTATTTAGGGGAAAATGTTACGGGGTGAAATAATGACTAGCTAAGAAACACGCGATACGTCTGTCTGCACCGGCCGGCACACCGTGAGAAATTAAGGAACTGTTTCTTGCTCGTAATTTATGCACTTATATGGCGAAACATTGAAATGCTTGTTGAAATAAATAAATTTAAAATGATATTTTTAATATTCAATTGTATAGGAAAAAAAAATGTATAAAAATGATATAATTAAATAATAATGATATATAATTTTTAAAAGCATGAAATCTTATTTTTTCTAGATGAAATTTTCTAGATATATATATGTTTTACTAACTAAAATGATAAAATTTTAATTTTCAAGTCATCAATAGAAAATTATACTTAATTTTTATAAAAATTCTTATAAATGCTTTATATAAGATAAAATTGATAAGATAAAATTTTTTTTAATTTAATAATTTTCTTTTATTAAAATAAAACATTTATATTATTTTACTAATAATAAAAATTAAATCTATTAAAATTAAATCTATTATTGAAATATTAAAAATATTTCAATTGAAATAAATATACGTGCCTGTTAAACATATGTATAATATGTATTATTTATTATATACGTAGTTATTATATTATTATAAATTGATTTTAATATTAAATCTATTATTATTATTATGAAAACAGAAATAAGTATAAACATATAAACATGCGACAATAACTATATTATGTCACACTCGATGATTGCCACATATATTTGTCGCACTGCAGGGAGAATATGTATTCTGTATTTCTTATATTCGTTTATTTTATATCAACGATTTTTTTTAAACAAAAAACGAAAAATGCATTTTTTCATTATGAAATTGTAATAAATAAGTAAAAACAAAATTTATAATTTGTTAAATGTTCAATTATCTAATAAAAACAAAATTAAAGAAATGTAATCTTTCATTGAATTTTTTTTCTAAATTACAAACTTTGATTTCTCTTTTCTTTCTAAACAGTTCAAACATCAAAAATAATTTAAAAAAAAATTTCAATAAATAACACAAATGTAATTACATTATTAGAAATTATTTATCATTATCAATTTAATATAAGACTAATAATTCCCTTTTTCAAAGATGCAAATACTATGAATTTACAATTTGTTCTTTCTTATTTTACAAAAATTTTACTTTATTCGATCTAAATATATAAAAAAAATTTGTTTTTAATATAATAATTAAATAAATAAATTAAATTTATAATATAAAATATTTTCTTTATAATTTTTTATTTTGAAACTATTTTAAAAATTTAAAAGATTATACTTTGAAGAATAATTCAGGTATATTTCAGGAACAGCTATGTTATGTAATGAGAATATTTTGAAGGTATAGATATAATTGACTGCAGTTATAATTTTTATCATTTCTTCATTTATTTTTATTTATTTATCAAATTTTTTGCGATTTATATGTTTTCTAATTGTAATAAAAACAAATATAATTATGTAATAACTATAATCAAATTAATTAATTACAAATAAACAATTATTTATACTTATTTAATATTTTTTGAAATCTAAATCATTGGAAATGAAAAAGATATAATAATGTATAATTAAAATGTTTGTTGATCATACGGTCGATATATCGATTCGTTAGTAGTCTTCGATTGCCGCATTGCATCTCACAATCTTCAACCCTGTACCTATGAAAGATCGTACCCTATTAATGATTTATTTCCATCCTAACTTTTCCAAATACGTGAATATATCAAAAATATTTTTATATATTCATTTCTATTGTTTCAAATTTTTCTTTTTTAATTTTTCTCTTTGAAAAATATTTCGATTTATTTTCTTTTCTCTTTCTATTATCGAAAGCATAATT